GTGTGTGCGCTACATAAACATGGGCAAAACTGAGACGAAATTTGGACTATGCTATATAAATAGCATAAGGATATTGAAGATGTTGCCTTTAGGGCTCCAAAAGAAGGAGCAGTTTTCATTTTAATACAGGAATGAGACTGAGTACTTTGCCCATAATGGAGTTAGATTTGGAACTTCATGGGTAGGAGCAGAAGGTCACACAAGTGCAAATTATTACATTAACATAATGGAGCTACCTAAAAGTTGGGACATTTCTTGCTGTTTTCCTGTCTGGGCGCCCCCACATGAAGAAAGACATACCCAGAATTCAACCTCAGAGTGTGTTACTTAAAGCTTTGAGTGTCCTAAAAAAAAAAAAAAAAAAAAGCTTTGAGTGTCCTAATCATCAGGTTTCCCTCCCAAAACAGGATTCTTTCACTGATTTAATTGACTGAATCTAATTATAGAACTTTACATTTTTCCTAGGTACATTTCATCCTGTTTGAGTTTACCCCATCATGAGTTTTTAAATTGTATGCTGTCATTCAGATAATCAGAATTAATGCTATTTTTTTTTAGCTGTGATGACATTATGGTTGTATTTTTTAATTGAAATTTTGTTGAGGTAATTCTAGATTCACATGCAGTTGTAAGAAATAATACAGAGAGCCCGGTTTCTTCAACGGTATTTTGCAAAACCATAGTATAATATCAGGGCCAGGATATTGACGTCATTGATACACTCCACCCATCTTATTCAGATATTCTCAGTTTTACCTGTACTCATTTGTGTTTGTGTGTGTGTGCACGCAAGGGTGTGTATAGGTTTGCGTAACTACCACCACAGTCAAGACACTGAACAGTTCCAACATTACAACAATACCTCCTGTTGCCTGTACCCTCCTTCCTCCTACCCGCACTTCCCCACTCTTCCTAACCCGTGGCAACCACTAATCTGTTCTCCATTTCTCAAATTTTATCATTTCAAAAACGTTAGATGAGTAGAATCATACAGTATGTAGCTTTTTGGGACTGGCTTTTTTTCACTCAGCTTAATTCCCTGGAGATTCATCCACATTGTTGTATGTATCAATAGTTTGTTCCTTTTTATTGCTGAACAGTAGTCCATGGATGGATATACTACAGTTTGTTTAATCATTCGCCTATTAAAGGACATCTGGGCTGATTCCAGTTCCTCTATGGACATTTGTGTGCAGATCTTGTGTGATATAAGTTTTCATTTTTGGGGGAGAAATGCCCAAGAGTGAAATTGCTGGGTTGTATAGTAATTGCAAGCTTAGTTTTACAAGAAACTGCCAAACCATTTTCCAGAGTGGCTGTACCATTTTACATTCCCATCAGTAATCTATGAGTGATCCACTTTCTCTGCATCCTCGCCAGGATTTGATTTTGTCACTTTTTAAAATTTTAGCCATTCTGATAGCTGTGTGGTGCTATCTCATTGTGGCTGTAATTTGCATTTCCCTAATCGCTAATGATGTTGAACGCCTTTTCATGTGCTTATATGCCATCTATATGTGTTCTTCAGTGAAACATCTCTTCATGTCTTTTGCCCATTTTCTCATTGGATTGTTTGCTTTTCTACTGTTGAGTTTTACGAGTTCTTTATATATCCTAGATATGAACCCTTTGTAAGATACGTAGTTTGCAAATATTTTCTCCTGTTTTGTAGCTTGTCTTCTCCTCCTAACAGACTCTTTTGCAGAGCAAAAGATTTCAATTTTGATGATGTCCAATAATAAGCTTTTCCTTTTATGGATCTTGCTTTTGGTGTCAAGTCTGAAAACTCTTTGCCTAAACCTGAAGATTTTCTCCCATGTTTTTTCCTAAAATTTTTAGAGCTTTATATTTTACATTAAGTCTGTGATCCATTTTGAGTTACTGTTGCATAAGGTGTGAGATTTAGGTTGAGGTTCCTTTTTTTTTTTTTTGCCTGCAGATGTCCAATTGGTCTAGTATTATTTGTTGAAAGGCTGTACTTCCTCCATTGGATGGTTTTTGTACCTTTGCCAAAAATCACTTGAGCATATTTGTGTGGGTCTATTTCTGGGCTCTCTATTCTGTTCCATCAATCTATGTGTCTATTTTTTTTGCCAATATCACACATTCTTAATTACTGTAAGTCTTGAAATTGGATAGATTGATTCCTCCCTCTATTCTTTTTCAAAATTGTTTTAGTTATTCTAGTTCCTTTACCTTTTCTTATAAATTTTAGAAAAAGCTTGTTATATCTATAAAAAACCTTGCTGGGCTTTTGATAGAAGTTGTGTTAAACCTGCATATCAATTGGGAAGAATTATCATTTTAACTATATTGAGTTGTCCAATCCATGCACACAGTATGTCTCTCCATTTAGTTAGGTTTTCTTTGAAATCTTTCAACAGCATTGTGGGGTTTTTCACATATAAATCCTAGATATGTTTTGTTAGATTTACACCTAAGTATTTCATTTTTGGAGAGTGATTGTAAACAGTATTTTTAATTTCAGTGTATAAGTGTTCATTGCTAGTATATAGAAGTACAATTAATTTTTTATGTTTATCTTGTATCCCATGAATTTGCCAAACTCACTGATTTGTTTCAGGAGGTTTTTTTTTTAACAGATTCCATGGGATTTTCTACATAGCCTATCATGTCATCTGCAAATAGGGGGAGTTTTATTTCTTCCTTTCCAATCTGTAATGCATTTTACTTCTTTTGTTTGCCTTATTCCAGTTGCTAGAACTTCCAATACAGTGTTGAACAAAAGTGGTGAGAGTGGACATCCTTGCCTTATTCCTGATTTTAGGGGGAAAGCATTCAGTCTTTCACCATTAAGGAAGATATTAGCTGTAGGTTTTTTGTAGATGGTCTTTTTCAAATTGAGATAACTCTCTGCTGTCCTTAACTTGAAGAGAAGTCTGTTTTTTAAATCACAAATGGTTGCTGAATTTCGTAAATGTTTTTTCTGTCAATTGATATGATTGTGTGCTTTTTCTTCTTTAGCTTGTTGATATGGTGGATTACGTTAACTGATTTTCAAATGTTGAACCAGCCTTGCATACCTAGAATAAACGTCACTTGGTCATGATATATAATCCTTTTTATACATTATTGAATTTGGATTGCTAATATTTTGTCAAATATTTTTGCATCTAAGTGCATTAGATATATTGGTCTGTAGTTTTTTTGTTTTTGTCTTTTAAAATATATACTATCTTTGTCTGATTTTGGTATCAGAGTAATACTGGTCTCATAAAATAGTTGGAAAGTGTTCTTTCCTCTTCTATTTTTTGGAAGAGATTGTATAAAATTGGTGTTAATTTTTCTTTAAATATTTGGTAGCTCCAGCGAAACCATCTGGGCTTGGAGATTCCATTTTTGAGAGTTTTAAAATTACAAATTATAGCTTTATATTTACATAGCTTTATATTCCCCACATATCTGACTAGAGAAATATTTTGTATACTTTACCGAGGAAGGATGTCAGAGAGGACCATGCCCCGCCCTCCTGTGCATTGCAGCTGGCCCTTTTCCTTTTCATCCCTTGGGTGACTGCAAAGTTAAGGGTGGGGAGGGCAGAAAGCCTCCCTTGTGGTACCCCAGGTGTTTCCTCATAGCGCAGCCCGGGGATTCTGAGAGCAAGATGGAGGTGCATCACCAGAGTCCTACATTAGAGAAGAAGCAAGTGAACCAGGCGGGGTGTCCCAGGCAGCCCCCTATCCCCTAGTGGTCACAGGGTTTGAAAACGAATAGCAGGTGCCAATCCAGAGACAGCACAGAGATGAAAACTCCCAGGCAAGGGCCCCAGCCCCCTACACATTATGCTGTTGATAAGATGTTATCTTGGTGACTGTAAGAGCCAAGAGAGGCAGGTGTTGGGCATTCAAAGGGGAGCGTGTGAAAGTCGGGGGAGAAGGACCACAGCAGAAGAGCCGGACTGCACCTTGGGTTACACGCAAGGATGAGCCCCGGGGCTGCCCAACGTCCTAACGAGTGCAGGTTCAGCTTCACAGGCTTCCTTGAATCTGTGTGCAAACCATAGACCCACTGTATGCACACTCTGGGCACACCACACACACTTGTGTGAGCAGATGCTTGTGGCCCAAGTGGCTCAGGGGCCTGCAGTCTGTCTGGGGTGGTCTCTGAGCTGGCTCGGTGCCCATCTGGATTGGACTCCTTCCACAGCAGACCTGAGCCTGCACTTCCCAGCTGGCAGCTGATGCCCCATTTGGCCTTGCTGGGTACATGAAACGTTGTGCCTTGGTCCCAAGGATGGCGGTAGCAGCAGAGGGAGCTGAAGAGAAGCAGACGGGAGCCTGCATGGGTTTGCCATGTAGGGGTGGGAGGCTCAGGTTTACCCAGCTTGCTTAAGGTCACATAGTTAGTGGCAGAGTCAAGCCTGCCTCTAGGTGGATCAGACATAAGAGTTTGTAAATAACGTGCTTTGTTATTTTCTCATTTGTACAATGGAGAAACTAACGGTCCTTACCTCCCAGTATGGTCATGAGGGTTAAATGAGATAATAGTGTAACAATCTAGCACATAGCCCAGACAGAACATGGTTAAGTGCCCGATAATATTAGCCATTATTACTATTACTATTTTTTTTAAATAATTTTATTTATTTTTCCCCCAAAGCCCCAGTAGATAGTTGTATGTCATAGCTGCACATCCTTCTAGTTGCTGTATGTGGGACGCGGCCTCAGCATGGCCGGAGAAGTGGTGCGTCGGTGCGCGCCCTGGTGGGAACCCGGGCCGCCGGCAGCGGAGTGCGCGCACTTGACCGCTAAGCCACGGGGCTGGCCCACTATTACTATTAATATACCATTTTATCACCAAAGGCAGAATTACAATGATGATAACAAAAGTTTAGCATTAACACAAGCATGATGAAATTAGAGTTGTTTCTGGTTCGTAAACACATGAGGCCTTTCATTAGAAACTAATTTGAAGCTGTGTCATCCCCCCCCCCCCGATGTGAGCCCACCTGTCAGCCTGTCTATCTGCCTCCATCCCAGATGGAGCAGCTGTTCTGCCTGCCCCTCAGAACCTCTCTGTGCAATCAACCAACATGAAGCATCTCTTGACGTGGAGCCCAGTGATCGTGCCTGGAGAAGTAATAGACTATTCTGTCGAGTACCAGGGGTGAGTTGTTTTTTTAGTTTTTCTTCTTTAGATGGCACTTGATTTCTGGAGGCACAGCCCTCATTCCAGAGCTCAAGGAGGCTTTGCAAGCCCAGAGACGGATTATTTCCCATGATCTGCCTCCTCTGTCTGCATGGGCATTGGGAGGGTTGAAGAAGCAAGGGAAATTGTCCTGTGGATTTGACAGCAAACTCTCTGGGAACACAAATTTGTTTAAATGCATTTTGCTGGAGCTTCTTTTCAATAGTGAGTCCATTGTCCAATGCTAAAGAAAACCTTAAGAAATCAGTTTGACTCTGACTTAACGTGGATAAATCATTGGAGACTCAGATCCTTTGGGGATGGGGGAGACCTCAGTTTTCCTAAGAGCTTGTCCCTAGGAGCCAAAACAAATCGTGACCCTAAAGGTCAGCTGGCCCCGGGGCCAATCAGGCTTCTCTCTTCTCCAGATGTCCGGGCCCTCAGAGCTGTTGAAGAGCAACAGGAACACATAAGGTGCTCGATATACTATACACAATTAATACAATCTGAGCACCTACATGTGTAGACATTCTTCTAGGCTCAAGGGTACAGTTGACAAGGTTTCTGGATATAGGAAGCTTATATGTAGAGGAGGGGACAGACAGTGAAAAGGTAAAGAAATAAATACAGTTGGTCTGCACTGTCCAATGTGGTAGACACTAGACACATAATTAAAATTAAATTAAATTAAAATGTCTGTTTCCCAGTCATACTAGACACATTTCAAATTCTGAATAGTCACATGTGGCTAGTGGCTACCGTATTGAACACAATTGATATAGAACATTTCCATCATCACAGAAAGTTCTATTGGGCAGCACTGCTCTAGGCAATTTCAGATAGTAATCAGTGCTAGGAGGAAGCTAAAAGGCTGATGCAATGGAGAATTGACTCTGTGGCTCCTTTTTATTAGGTGGTCATGGAAGGTCTGTCTGAGGACGTGATAATTAAGCCGATATCTGAGGGACAGGAAGAGCCAGCCAATGTGAACAGCAGGGGCAGAGCATTTGAGACACAGTGAACAGCTAGTCAAAGGTCCTAAGTTAAAAAGAGTTCAGCATGTTGGAGGAATGGCAAGGAGGCCAGCTTGGAGGGAACATCACATTTAGGGGCAGAGTGAGAGAGGCCAGAGAGTCTTGTAGTCCATAGGGAAGAGTTTGGATTCCATTCTAAGTGCTTTGGAAGCCATTAAGGAGAGAAATGTCATGATCTGCTGAGTGGTGAAAGGTTTGAAGATTGGCGGGAGTGGAAGCTGGAAGATTAGTCAGGAGACCACAGCAAGGCAAGGGATGACAGTGGCTGAGATTGGGGGGTGACCATGGATGGAGAGACCAGGACAGAGTGGGGTTTATGCTTAGGTTTCCCTTGTCTGTGATAAATGGAGTAAGGAAGAATGGATGGTTGGTGAGGAAGGAGAGTGGAGGAACTTGAGTGTGGAGCAAATGCTTCTTTTCCTGATCCATAAAAAGTAGGTGAATGAGGCAGTTACTTGCAGCCATCACTGAGCCTGGGTGGAAGGAGCTGGAGTGACGCTGTGCCCTCTTGTCTGTGACCAGAGAGTATGAGAGCCTGTACATGAGCCACATCTGGATCCCCAGCAGCTGGTGCTCACCCACGGAAGATCCTGAGTGTGACATCACTGATGACATCACTGCCACTGTGCCATACAACCTCCGTGTCAGGGCCACCCTGGGCTCACAGACTTCAGCCTGGAGCGCCCTGAAGCACCCCTTTAATCGAAACTCAAGTAAGGCACTTCTCTCCTTACTCTCCCACCCCACCAGCCTCCCCTTCAGGAATCATAGTCACTGAGACTTTCTGGATTCTTTTTAGCATCAAATTAGTCTTGCAAAGCCAGAGTACTGTGAATACAAACAACTCATTTAAAAAATTGCCAACTGCTTCCCACATGCCCTCTCTCTCATTTTGAAGGAGACTGGAAGTCATTTCTGATGGTCTCTGTCAGAGTCTGCCGGTGGTGGGGAACCTGGGAGGAAGGTTGCTCTGGAAGCGGGGAGACGAGGCGAGAACTGCTTCTTTCTGCCCTGGTAGTGCCTCCATAAATCTTATACTGCCTCCCATCTTGTGCCCCATTAACCCCATATTTGTTGCCTATGTGAGCACCTTCTTTGTGCAATAGGATCTATACATTTATCAGAGCCATCACAAACAGTCACTGAGAAATAAATAACTTTTCTATAGCAATAGTACCTGGAAAATGATTGAGAAAGAAGTAAGAGAAGAATCTAGACAAGTGGCCAAATATGGCAGAGTGCAAGGAATGGTCAGTGTGTGAGAGGGCATGTGTGTTTGAGGAACAGCATGAGCAAGGGCTGGATGGCTAGGGGTGAGGAAGCAGCTGGTCACATGGGGAAGGGCTGTGACATGAAGCTTGATCAAATCAGTAGAGGGTGGTCATGGAGGAAGAGACAGTCTAGGCCAGGTCTGTCTTACAGAACGATCACTGTCTGCTGCGTGGATGGTACAGTGGAGTAGGACAAGCCTGCAGGGTAGGGGAAGAGGGTGGAGGGGATTCTAACAGTCCATCTGAGCCAGGTGGGTCCTGACCCTAGGAGTTGGGGAGGGGATGGGAAAGAAAGGAAAAATTCCAGGGGCATGGCACAATTAAAAAGGACAGAGCTTGGTACCAGTTATTGGGAGATGGAGTGGGGAGAGAGAATGATGGTGTCCAGCCCCCAATTGGGGTTGGTGAGCATGTCATCGAAGGCAGAGAACCCAAGAGGGGCAACTGGTCTTGAGGAATAGGACACACTCCTGGCTTTGGGCTCTTTGAGATTGAGATTCCTACAAGATATCATGCCACAGATGTCTGACTGGCAGTTGGAAATCAGGCCCTGGGGCTCAGACAGGTCAAGGTCTGACACACAACACAAAATTAATAGCTAAAGGCTTGAGAGCAGATGAGATTGTCTGGGGACAAGATATGAGGACCCAGGACAAGATCCTGGGAAACCTCTGGGTTTAAAAAGTGGATGGAGGGAAAGACCCACTTTGTGAGTAGGTGGAGGGTCATGGAGGGAAGAATAGAAGAGCTGCTGATAGGCCTGAAGGAGGGCCCTAAATGGGTCCTTGAGAAAGTGGCTTCATGGAACAGTGGGGATGGGGCTCAGGCTACAGGATGGAGTACTGATTGAGGTGGGAAGGAGCAAGGCAGCTCCTACTCTGAGACAGGTGTGGGCGATAATGTGACCAGTTTGCAGATGCAGGAAAGGCCTTTGATGACTTCTGTTTTCTTGATGTGGCAGAAGATCCTCTGCTGTGAGTGAGGACAAAGGACGGTTTGGGGCAGCAGCTACAGTAAAGGTATGAGTCAGAGGTTACTGAGGAGTGTATGAGATTGGGTGGAAATCAGGAATGTGTGGGACCCCAAGCTGGAAGGGGCTGAGGAAGGTGAAGATAGATTTCAAAGAGAAGTTGGCCCTCTAGAGTCAGACAGATGTGGTTCAAATCCCAGCTCAGTCACTTGATAGCTGGGTCCCTACCTCCTCATCTGTAAGAAGGGCAACAGTTTGCCTCACTGGGTAGTCATGGGGACTATTTGAGATGAAATGTGTAAATGCTCGGTGCAGTGCTTCCCAGTCATAGTACTCAGCTACTGGTAAGTATGATTATTGTCATTGCCCTAGGGATAGCCAGAGAGCAGAGGAGGGAAGAGGTGGGGGCAGGAATGGGACCACTGGAATGGGATACCAATAGGAATTTTGGTGCAGAATGTGGGCTCCTCTGCCTAGGCCTCTTTCCCCAGGCACTGGGAGGATACAGTGGAGGCAGTGGGATCCCAGTACCAGGCACTGGGGGAGGCTGAGGGGCGCTGGAGGGTGATGCGGTTCTGCCTCTGCCCGCAATGCCCAGGCAGTACCCAGCACCGCCTTCCTCTGGTTACTGGGGGACGGGGCTCCAGCCAAGACCATTGCTGGGGGTTGGTAGCTGTTGTTGGAAAGGAAGGCACGGGTCAGATAGAGATAAGAAAGTGCCTACAAAACTATGTGGGCAGCAGTGTGTGGTAACAACTTGTGCTTGAGAAGGCCAAAATAAAGAGAAAAAGGTCTTGCTGAGGAGAGCTGAGGAACAGGAGTCTCTGTACCTGCGCCAGAAGGCGGAAGATGCAGTCCTGTATGACCCCTGTGCAGGTGGAGTTAGCTACGGAGCTAGGATGGAATCGTGATTCCTAATGGCATTAGTTAAGTCTGCTCTTTTGCTTTTGAAAAAGGCCACCCCGACTACTCCCCAGGCAGGTGAAAAACTTGTTTGAAGGCTCTTCTGGAAAGGATCTCCTACTCTTAAAGGGAAGCCTTGTTGAGAACAGAGGTTTTTAACCTCAAATGCACATTCAAATCACAGGGGAGCTTTAGAACCACTTATGTCTGGGGCCCATCCCCAGGGAGTCTGATTTAAACGATCTCTGTGTGTCCTGTTCACTGGGAGTTTAAAATTCCCCTCAGGTTGTTCTCATGTACATCCAGGTTTGAGATCCACTAGCAGAGAGGCTAAACACCCCATACAGCAGAGTTTAGAAATGTGGAAAGACGTGGGCTCAAATTCTGGCCATTAACTGTGTCCCTCTAGGCACTTAACCTCTCTGAGGCTGAGTTACGTCATCTGCACAAAAGGAATAGCGTTTACCTTCTTAAGCTTGCTGGAAGAATTAAATGAGATAAGTACGCAGAGTGCATAGGACAGAGGTTCCTGCCCCAACACTGTCAAAAAATTCTCTGAAATGAAATGACTTTAGGTTATTTACTCAAATTCTATTCTCAATAAAGATGGAGATCAGAGGATCCAATTCTAATCATCTTTGACTTAAAACTGGAGGATTCAAACATCTCTTTTCCTTCTGGAGATGTTGCAGAGGTAGTTCTAGCATGCTGCGTGATCGTATGAAGACTCTGAGCTGGGTATGTTTTGCACAGCTGGTCCCTGACTCCCAAGCCCTCCCTCCCCTGTCTAGGCAGCTCTTCGAATGCCAGGAAATGCTTTGCTCTCTGAAAACTCCCTCCGGGAACTGCCTTTCTTCTGAGTGTTCACTGACTCTAATGCAGGGAGATTTAGCCTAGAACACACCCCACTCTACCTCCCAAGCCAAGGCCAGCCATTGAGGTGGCCCTTCTGGTCCTGCAGTGTCTGGATCTGAGAGGCAAGTATGGATCCACCATCAGTAGCCAGGGACTAGAGGCTGCCTATGCGGGCCCTTCTGCTCTTTGTCTGCTGTTGGGAAAGTATCTGTGGGGGGCTGCTGGCCTCTCTGTTTGGGATCCAACAATGTGAAAGATGGTGTTTGTGCTTAAGCTGTAATTTCTAGAGTTGATTATTGGAATATGTAAAATCCTCTGACTTTCCAAGATCCCTCATTAAGGATATGAGATGAAGAATCCTTGGGCCAAGAATAGAATGGCCAACCCATCCACAGGCTGCTGATTTCCTGAGGTTTGAAAGTCATCAGCAGCCAGTACATATCTCTGATCTATGTGAGCTATACGGACACACCTGCCCCTTCCAGGATGTCTGTTCCCAAGGGGCAAAGACTGGCCCTGACTGTGTTCGGTACGGACCTGAGCTCATGCAGCTGTTTGGCAAGCATTAAGAAACAGCATCTGCTCACTTAGATGAGCCAAGGTGAGGAGCAATTTCTGCCAAAAAAGTAAAAACAGGAGCACAGATTATAAAATTTTAAAACAGAAAGAGATCATGTTTACCTGAGTATTATAGTCACTTTTCTTGAGTATGTGTGCCTCCTGAAGAAGGAACAGAGGACTTTATTATAGACAAGGAGAGGAATGAAAAAAGGAATTGTAGTAAGTCTTTGGCATTTGGTTTTTTTCATTTGCTCATCGTTCAAAAAGCATTTACTGAGCACCTGCTGAGTACAAGCGAGTATTGGTGTACATGCTCCCGCATGCTGTGAAGCTACATCCAACCCCCTCCCTTCCCCACGAGCCTGGCATGTTCCCAACGATGACTTGGCCATGGTCTCCCGGGACAGAAATCAATCCTGTCTGGGGCTGGCTTTGATTCTCCCCTTGTCTTGCCAACAGCTATCCTCACCCCACCTAGGATGGAAGTCACCAAGAATGGCTTCCACCTGGTTATTGAGCTGGAAGACTTGGGGCCCCAGTTTGAGTTCCTTGTGGCCTACTGGAGGAGGGAGCCTGGTGCCAAGGTGAGACTTCTGGCCGTGGCCTTTAAGTCAGGCTTCAGGGAAGGAGTCTGCGGGGTGGGTGAGGAAAGCAGGCCCCTGCAGTGCTCACTGTCTGGGGTGGCCTAGGTGAAGGGTGGGAAAGGAGAGATGGGAGTAGGCTAACAATCCTCCTCTTCAAAGAATTGTTTTGGTCCAACCCAGGCCTTGGCTAGGAGCCTTGTGAGGCCAGATTTGCTGAAGTATGGGGGCTGCTTCCTTCCTTAAATGCTAACATAGTTGGATCCACAATATCTTTTCAATGCATTTCTTCTCCTTCATCAGCCTGTCTTCTCAGCCATTCTCCCTAGCATGTTTAGGGGCAGCAGACCAGGGTGTTCCAGATCAACTGGATGATTTCAAAAGCATGTGGGGCTGGCACAAACCTCTTGAGGGTGTATCTGGGCAGGGTGCAGAAGTTGGGGCGGAGAGCCAGGAGTTAGGAATAAACCTGTCTAATTATGAGCCAGCGGGTCACCAAGAATGCCTAGATGGGGCGCTGCCCCTCCCTGTGGGGTTGCTCTAGGCTGGGATGGGTGGGAGGCCAGTTCCCCCAGAGCGAATGGCCAAAGCAGCAGCAGCAGCAGCAGGAGTGGAGCTTGAGCAGGCACTCGGGGCAGTGAGACCTGTGGGCCCTGTCCAAGCTGACATGGTGGTGAGGCCCGCCCCAGTCAGCACAAGGAAAAGTAGGCTTTATCATAAGGATTAATATGGTGCAATAAGGGGCTCTCACAGAATCTATGGACAGAGCTGGCCCAGAGCCAGGCTGCAGCACAGCCTCACTTACCCAGGCACACTCGCCTGTGGAGTCCGTGATTCCCTCTGGTGGGTCCTCTCCCCAGCTTACACCCAGCCCACGATCCCTTATCACTGCTTCCTACACGTGCCTGTGGCTGTGTAGTCTCAGGCCTGACTTCCTCTCGCTGTGTCCTCTCCCCTTTGTCCCTGCTTCAAGCTCCAGGCATTCAGTTTCCCAAGACCAAATTCCTGGGAGAGAAAATCCGATTGGTTCTGCTCATTTTATCAGGCCAAGCTTAGGGGTCGCTTCAGATTGTTGGCTGGCCTCTGATGGACCCTTCTCAGGCCAGGGGTACCCCAGGCCTCAAGGCAGCATCAGGGGTCCAGGGCACATGCCCTACCACCTACTCATCAGGGGCTGTGGGGTGGGTAGCTTCCCCTGGAAGGTGCGGCAGGCAATAACAATGGTTTCCAGTATTTACTCTTGCTGGACCAGGGCTCAGTGGCAGGACATGGCATTGCCAGCCATGCAGGTGGAGTGGTGCGAGGGACATATCAGAACCTGGGTATGGGGGAGCATGCAGCTCCCTCAGATTCTTTGGGATGGGGCCCACTCCCCACCCTTGGTAACTGGCAGGGCCAGTGCTGAGAGAGGAGCATGTACCCTGAGTCATCTGGGCTTGGCCCAGACAAGCCTCCACAGGTTCAGATGTGGAGCACAGGCCTCAACAGGTGGATGCGGGTGGAGGGGTGCACAGATAGATGGACAGATGGGTGGATGGACGGATGCCTGGGGAAGCACTGCCCACCCGCTCCAGTGCTCCTGTGCACTGATCCCCCTGGCAGCAGTGGCCATGCCAAGGCCCTGGCTCAGTCAGATTTCTGACCTTTGGGTCTCTGCCCACATGTGACCCTATCGAGGGGCCTTCGCTAACCACACTGGCTAGTGTCTCCTCATCACTCTGCCTCCTTGCCCTGCTTCCTCTTTCTTCACAGCCTTTATCACCACCTGACGTGTATTATATACTGTCTGTCTCCCCATGTAAGCTCCACGAGAGCAGGGACTTTGTCTGTTTTGTTCAGTGCCTTCAACAGAGCCTGGCACATAGTAGGTGCTTAATAAGTAAATATGAATGAATGAATGACAGGGAACATTCCGCATGCATCCCCCAAGGGAAATATCTGCACTTTCCTTCCCTGGCTCTTCTTGCCCTTTCCTGTCCTGTGTCTCTCAGGGTGTAACTGTTTTCTGGTCTCCTAAAGGAGCACGTCAAAACGGTGAGGAGCGGGGGCATTCCAGTGCACCTGGAAACCACGGAGCCGGGGGCTGCCTACTGTGTGAAGGCCCAGACGTTCGCGAAGGCCATTGGGAGGCACAGCGCCTTCAGCCAGGTGGAATGTGTCAAGGTGCAGGGTAAGGTCGGCCTGTCTGTTCCCTGGAGCCCTGCGCGGGTGACAGCACCTCCTGGTGGATGCCCGGCTGCCTGCTGGGTTCCTTTGGTTCTGAGTCTCCCCTGGTTTCACTGACCTGCCCCCCAGGCTGGGTGGGTTCCTGTGGAAAGTGTGCTTCACTCTAATTCCCCTAGAGGCGAGAGTCCACCCTGGGCCTGGGTGGGGGGCACTTGAGCAGCTGTCTGGAACACTTTCCCCCTGAAAGCTCCCTAGGCCGGGGCCAGATGTTGCAAGGCTGGCTTCCCAGATGGCAACTGCCTGCGAATCACAGCGGGGTTGCCAGAGAGGCAGCCAGGGGCATGAGAGTCAGACCTTGTGAGAAGGCACCCCATTGTATATCACAGCTGCTTTCAGCTGGAAGAGACCTTATGGAAAGTCTGTAGAATCCTCTTGTTTGACTTAAGTTTTTCCCTTGAATTTTTTGTGGTCTAAAAACCCACAATGTTTAAAAACCCTTTGAAAAGAAACAAAACAAAACCCCACATCCCATGACTCTGCCACTCTGTCACCACTAGTGACATTTTTGTGTATAACTTTTTAGTCTTTAAAAAATTAATTTGAATATTTAGTACTTTTATATGGTTCAAAAAATATGACGATACACATAGAAACTCTCCTTTCTTCTCCTCTTCCCATCCTTATAATTCCTATCCTTCCCCCATAGGCATTAGCTTCTTATATATCCTTCTAAAGACTTTTAAATGCATATACAAGTAAATGAGAGTATATTTATATATATTTCCCTTCTTTTTAGCACAAATGGTAGCATACTCTATGCACTGTTTTGGATCTTGTCTTTTTCACTTTATATATCTTGTAGCTTTTTCCCTATCTATAAAGAACTTCCTCATCCTTCTTTACAGCTACATAGTATTCCATTGTGTGCACATATAACTAATTTAACTCATCCCCTATTGATGGGAATGTAGTTTTTTCTCAGTGTTTTGCTATTACAGCCAATGCTTTAATTAATTACCTTGTACACAGATCATTTTGCTGGTGTGTGTACATTTGAAGGATAAATTCCTGGAAGTAGACTTGCTTGGTCAGAGGCATACGCATTTGAATTTTGACCACTGTTCCCAAATTGCCCTCTAAAGGGGTGTCATCCTTCCATCGTTGCCCATGTGTAGACACATGTTGTAACTGTATTGCACACACACTTTGTGCCTGCTTTTCCACAAATACCATATCCATAACATTTTCCATGTACATTCTCGATTATCATTTTATACTACTTTTTAAAACCATATATGTCCAGCTTGTTAAAGAATTCAAACAATACAGAAGTATATAAAGTAAGAGATACATGTTCTCCATTCTCCCCACACCACTCAGGAGGTTTCCTTTGGCAAGTTTGGCTAATCTTCCAGCCGTGGTGTGGTACCAGTACTCACAGGCACACATGGGACTCTCCTGTGCTCACTCTTCTGCGCCTTGCCTGGCTTCACTTACTAGTATATTGTGAACACATTTTCATGTCAGTACATATGGATGTACTTCATTTTTTCGTGTGAGGAAGATTAGCCCTGAGCTAATATCTGTTGCCAATCTTCCTCTTTTTGCTGAGGATGATTGGCCCTGAGCTAACATCTGTGTCCATCTTCCTCTATTTTATATGTGGGACGCCGCCACAGCATGGCTTGATGAGCAGTGCACAAGTCCGTGCCCGGGATCTGAACCCGCGAACCTGGGGCCGCTGAAGCGGAGTGTGCGAACTTAACCACTACGCCACCGGGCCGGCCCTAAGATCTACCTCATTTTTAAAGAAGATGCATAATAAGCCAATATATGGATGTGCCAAAATATACGTAACCGTCCCCCTGTGAATAGGTATATTCTATGCTTTCCAGTCTTTTACCACTACAAACCATGCTGTAGTGAACAAGCTTGTATATATCCTAATTCTCGTTTTAATAGCTCAATTCCTAACCTACCATGCTGATGTCCCATAATATATTAATCATCTCCTATTTTGGGATATTTAGATCATTTCCATGTTTTAGATCATTTCCTTTTGCTTTTGAAGATGATGTTCATTGATTGATTGATTGATTCATTCATTCAATGAATAACAATTGAGCATTAACTAGGTGCCAAGGGCAGCCTAGTCACTGGGATACAGCTGGGAAGTCCCTGCCCTCATGGAGCTTATCCTCTAGTTGGGGAGACAGGCTACAAACAAGTAAACAAAGGAGATAGTTTCCCTTGGTGGCATGTGCTATGAAGAAAACACACCAGAGCACGCCTGGGGTGGTGGTGGGGGTGTAGGTACACAGTTTGGGCAGAGAGGGAGACTGGTTATGAGGCTGTTGGTCTAGTCCAGATGTTGCTATGAACTGCTTTATGCAAATAATTGTTTCTTTCCTTGGAATTATTTTTTGGAATCCACTCATAGGAGTGGATGAAAGGGTATGAACCTTTGTTTATCTCTTGATGTGTACTGCCAAAAGATTTTCCAAAAGCATTGAAACAAAGTACAGTGCCCCCAGCCACATATGTGAGACCAGCAGCTTCTCTGCAGCCTCACTGGCTGTGCCTCCCTTCACAATGCAGGTGAGCAGCCCAGCCTAGAGGGGCCAATGAGTTGTTCCAGGTTACACAGAACAGGGAGAGGGAAAAATAACCCATCCCCCTTCCACAGCTCCAGATGCTCACACCTGGCACCTTCTGATACATTTTCTTAGTAAAATGCCGGTGGGCTTTGGAGTCAGCCCTACCTATGTGACCTGGGGGTAAGTCACTCAACCACAGTAGGGGCTTGATCTATCATAGTTATTGTGTGACTGTTTTCTGAACCCAGGATTTTTCCCCATAATATGAATCGAGGCCAAGAGCAAATTGTGAAACACACTTTGTTTTCAGTTACCGCCCAGCTCCCTTCTGTGCTGTTCTCTTTCAGCGCCTCCCCCTCATCCTGCCTGGGGCCTGGCACTCTGCCCTCCTGGCAGCAGTGCCAAGGTACGTGCAAACACAGCTAGTGGCTTAACAGATGATGCTCCTCCCTTCCCTTCCCAAGAAAAAGATCCTTATCTTCTCTGGGGCTTTCTGGAAACCAAGCCTTAATCTGGATTCTAGAAAAATGCTTTTAACGATGGTAATTTTTGTCCTAGGACATACATCAAATCTCAAGATGTTGGCATCTGCCGTCTTGGCCAATGTGTAGCGCCAACTCCAGGAAAGTGAGGGAGGCCCAAGACTGGAGATTTCATCTTCACTGTGGTCTCCTAAGCCTGTCCTTATCTTTTCATTTCCAGGAGAGACACTCTCCCTGGCACTGGCCCTGTTTGCATTTGCTGGCTTCCTGCTGATCCTTGTGGTTGTGCTGTTCACCATCTGGAAGATGGGTCAGCTGCTCCGGTACTCCTGTTGCCCCGTGGTGGTGCTCCCCGACACCTTGGTAATGTTCTTTTTTCCTTTCAGCACAACACTGACCAGATGCAATTTGGGCCTTGGTTGGGCATGGGCACACGTTTGTGGGTTTACAAGCATTTGCACAAAGAGGGGATCAGAGGGGCTGGGAGAGACCTCCCTTCACCAGGGAGTGGTGACTATCCTCAGGCTCCCATCAGGCCAGTGCTGCTTGCCCCCAGGACCTGGCACAGCCAAGAGAGCAGGTGTGCACAGCCCAGGATGCTTGGCATCTCAGGAGTCATGCACAGTCTTAGCCTTCCGGAGTGGCCTTTGAGCATTCTTGGCCCCTTCTCATAATTATAACAGCAGCTACATCCCGTAATATGTTCTGACACAACATATTCAATTCATACACTAAGAGCCTCCTTGGTTCTCAGAGTGAGGTGCATGTGGGAGGCCTGGACTGTGCTTTGCCTTTGCCCGGGGGCAGGGGGACAATCTGGACCTGCCCAGTGACTACCCAAGATGAGGGGTCCGCACATGTTTTCTCAGCTCCTCACAAGCCCAGAATTCTTATGTTACTCCTGAGGACGCTGGACCAGAGGTCTGAGTCTCTAGAGTGGGGATAGGCCCTGTATGTCCATGCCAGGGTGGGGAAAAGCAAGAGCAGGCCTCCGGCAGCTCCCCAAGTCCCATCTGGCTGCTTCTTATGTCCCCCCACCAACCCCCCTAGACCTCAACACACAAAGCAGCCCCAACAAAACAAAACAACAACAAACAAAAACAAACCCATCCCTGACAACTCAGGGATTTCCACAGTTCTCTCCTGGGAGGAGGGAGTTAGCAGTCCCCTTCTCAGAAGCAACCAGAACCTGCAACCTATCCATTCCTGTAGTTCCTCATCAGCCTGGAGTCACTCTGGAAGGAGTCAGTCTTGTGACGTCTGCATGGCCCTGAGAGATGGGCTATGCTCTCCCTACACAGGAGGAATCATCCTCCTGGTAACACAGTCTTTTAGGAAACTCCTCTGCCCTGCTCTCCTAATGTCAGCTCTCTTCTTCTTTCCAGTACTCCCAGGTGGTCATAATTTATTTGACACTGGTACAGAGTTAAGCGCCAGGCATCATTCTAAAGCTTTACATATATTGACTCATTTCATTTCCCTGCTTCATAGCGCTTACCCGTGTACTTTCATCAATTCCCCTCCAGCCCACTCTGAATGACTACATGGTTTACTGCTAAACCTAGGGCAATGTGGTGTCTCAAACATGGGGGACAGGGTGGCCTCAATCCCCTTCAGCAAGAACTTGAGGGGCTCAAAGTTCCCTGAAGCATAAAAGGAGGTGTATTCTGCAGTTGCTGGGGTAGTGTTTTATAAATACCAGTTGAGTCAAAATGTTTGATAATACTGTTGAGACGTTTTGTATGGTTCTATTAGTCATTGAGAGTGAGACAAAATCTCCAACTATGAGTATGGATGTGTCTGTTTCTCCTTTTATGCCAATTTTTCCTTCCTATATTTTGAAGCCCTGTTTTAGGTGCACACATACGTATGATTGATATGTCTTCCTGAGTAACTGAGTATTTTATCATCATGAAATGTCCCTCTTTATCTCTAGCAATATTCCTTATCCTGATATCAATATAGCCTTTTTTGTTTACTGTTTGCATGGTGTATCCTTTCCATATTTTTACTTTAAACTTACCTGTGTCCTCATATTTAAAGTGTGTTTTTGTAGCAACATATAGTTGGGTTTTTTTTGTGTGTGTAAATCCATTCCAACCATTTTTACCATTTAATTGGAATGTTTAGTCCATTAACACTTAACTCTGGTCCTCTCACTTTCTAACTTCTGTGTTTGCACTCCTGTCTGTTTTCTGGTTCTTCAAGCTGGGAAGACTGTTACTGTTCATGGCACCAAGAGAGACCTACCCTCAGACAAGAATTGTAAAAACTGAGAAACTCACCCAGTGACATTCCCTTCTGCCAAGTGTCAACTTTTGGTTGCTCTCTGGTGACTTAAGGAAGTTGGTTTTATATTTCGGTCAGTTTTTGAAGTTGTTATGCATAGGAGGATTGATCTGATTGGTGCCCCTCTGCCATAAGTAGAAACAGAATCCTGCAATCAAAGAGGCATGCCTGCACCAAGCCAAAATGATGACAATGGTAGGGGAGCATTCCTGGCTTGGGCGGGTCACTGGCTCTTCTCTTCCACACGTGGTGAAGAGCTCAGCCTTCTCTAGCTGGACTCCATCAAGTTGTCACCCTTTGTGATTTTCCTCTCAACTCTGTCACCCATGCTTACCCTCTACACACAGGCCATTCCATTCCTAACACCCTCCCTCTTTTTTCCTCTTCTGGTCCTGCATTCAGCAGCCCAGCAGAGTTTCCTCTCTACCTCAGGATCACGGGCACTAGCATCCTTTTAAGACTCAGTGCCTTGTGAGTGAGCAACAGAGAAAAGGGCCAGGAAAAGACCATGTAAAGGGTCCGTTCCTTGTAGCATTTCAGGTGCACAAGGAGCTCTCAAATGGCATGGACTCCTAGGAATCCTAATGCATTGTGAGCCACACCCTAAAAATACCTTTTGGAGAAAACCAACAACTTAGATGAGACCAGAAACAAGGAGATTCTATGAGACTATAACCACCTTCATCCGTGGAAGGTAGATGCCACTACCTGTGGCTACCTTTGCTTCTCTGTTCTCCTTTACTATCCTTCCTACATCGTTCCAGTGTCTGCCCCTGCGTTCATTCCTTTCCATAAGGCTTTTAATTCTGTTTCTCCCTAGATTTTTAAGGTGGACCATTTCTCTGAGAATATGCATTTCCCACAGTGCTATATGAGAAATAGATCACTAGTGTCCCTTAAATCCCAAACTGGTTCTGGAGCATCACCACTGCCATCTCCCCCTCTCAGCCTTGATGCTAGCACAGCCTCACTGCACTTCAACATTTTCGTAGTTATAGATAATCCCCTAAACTATTAAAAAGCAACTTCCAGCCATTCTTGCAAAATCCAATTAAACCATGAAAAATTACCAAGTGGAAATCCTTGACAATTCTTCAAAAAGCCCTATTGAGTTTGTAAGTGTTTAATCTATATATTTGGATTAAACATTTCATGTCTACATCTATAATTTTACAGTTGGTGATGGTTGCACTCTGAAATATACCATTAAGAATGCCTTTTCATTCAAGTTTATATCACCAAGTAACAGTCTAAAGCAGAAATACATATGCAAAGAAAATTATATTAAGACTGCTCAGTGTATAGTCCCTACTTTAAAATATAATTTCTTTTCCTTGTCTTTCATCCATAATTGCTTCCTGGGGACGGAGGCTTAGGTGCTAACGGGTCTTCCTTTCCTTTTTGTGACTTGATTCTTTCTCTCCTTGCTGTCATCTTCCACTGTGGGTAGCAAGCATAAAGATGGCTCTAAGTTAGTCATTCTTCAATGGACCATCTCAAGTATGACTTTGTGTGCTTTATAGAAAGGAGAGTTTGTGAACTCAGATGGCTCTGGGGCCCAGATAGGTACCAAAAAAAAAAAAAAAAAAAAAAAAGAAAAAGAATGTGCAGTGCGATGAATGTAATTCCATGGGGAGAGATGGTGGGCTGCTTCTCAGCTCTAGCAGGTTGCTGCCAAGAGAGAATGTGAGCCTGTGCTACCAGAGCTCCAAGATTTAAACGAGAATCCAGAAATCCAGACTTTTATGAGAAATCTCCTGATTTTTAAATGTTGAAAACTAATTCAGGGGCCGGCCCCGTGGTGTAGCGGTTAAGTGCGTGCGCTCCTTTGCTGGCGGCCCGGGTTCGGATCCCGGGCGCGCACTGACGCACCGCTTGTCAGGCCATGCTGTGGCGGCGTCCCATATAAAGCGGAGGGAGGTGGGCACAGATGTTGGCCCAGGGCCAGTCTTCCTCAGCAAAAAGAGGAGGATTGGCATCGGATGTTAGCTCAGGGCTGATCTTCCTCACACACACACACACAAAAAAAAAACAAAAAAAAAGAAAGAAAACTAATTCAAATAAAAACAAATCAGCTGAACCTTGCTTGAAAGTTTGTCCTAACCCGTGGGGCAACAGTTTTGCCCCTTCTGAAATTCTGAGATTATGCCGTTTTACTTTAATGTTCTAGAACGGCACCATCTAATACAGTAGCCACTATTGGCTGTGACTATTGGGCACTTGAAATGTGGCTAGTGCAAACTGAGATGTGCTGTAAATATAAAATACACAATGGATTTTGAAGACTCGGTACAAAAAGAGAATGTAAAATATTTTAATATTGATTCCATGTTGAAATGCTATTTATTTTTTAATAAAATATATTATTAAAATTAATTTCACCTGTTTCTTTTTAAAATGTGTGTGCCACTAGAGAATTTTAAATTGCTATGTAGCTCACATTATATTTCCATTAGATAGGGCTGCCCTAGAATTTAAAAAATAATCAGGTGTAACACTGCAGATTTAGGCAGCCCGGGTCCTGAGAATCTGACGGGACCAGCAGCAGTGAATTGGAGGTGGGCTCCACAGTGACATTCGCATTCAGGGAGCCCTCTCGTATATTGTTCTTTCCCGATATTTGCCTGTGGACACTGAGAGTGAGACCCTGCCGCGCCTCTTTACAAACAAAGATCAAGGGCAACTGACTCGATGAAGCTGACGTCTCCGGGGCACTGAGATGGAGGATCCGTTGTGCCTGTTTATGTCTGTACCCACGTCCCACTCTTTGGAGTGACGATGGGAAGGGCTGTGGGAGATGAACTGCAGAAGAACCTAGTGAATTGGGTCGAGGTGAGCAGGCTAGTGACAGTTGGGAGAGTCCCTCTGAAAAGCTGATATGTGCATTTTTACAGCCAGTTATGATCATGTATTGCGGTTGCTGGTAGGAACACAAAACATGAGTGGGAAGGAACTCTCGTCCGTGGAGTGCCATTCTGGACTGGGCACCTGCTAGGTGCTCTCTGTGGAGAATCTCAGACCAGGTCGTTATTTTCAGAGCTCTCTGGTGGAAGAAGGTTAGATTTTTTTGACCAGAATTACCGTCTGGGCTTTTGTGGGGTAGGGGACCATCAGAGGAGCACCGAGGAAGCAGGGCCCCAAGAGATCTGCTGGTCGGAGAACTGAGAGATGATCTCAGTAAACGTTGGAAGCCCCTGATCTAGAGGTTAGAATTGCCTGTGGGCTTTTTTGCTGCTTGAAAGTTATGAATCAAATGGTTGGGATTTTTGTGATATTCTGTTCAACTACTATTGCTACTACTCATCTAATGAATATTCATGAAAATTATTTTTCAGAAAATAACCAATTCACCCCAGAAGTTAGTCAGCTGCAGAAGAGAAGAGGTGGAAGCCTGTGCCATGGCTGTGCTGTCTTCTGAGGAGCTTTTCAGGGCCTGGAGCTAGCAGGCTGGGGAAGGGCCCAGTGAAGCTGAGAAAACTGGTCTGCGTGACACAGAGCCATGAGGGGAAAGGCTGTGGATCTGTTCTCCTCCATGAACAAAGGACAAGAGAAGTAGGAAGAGCCTGTCGTGTCTAGAAGGTCTAGAAGCCACTGTCAGGCAGACAGAGCACTGAGTGGGGGTTAGGAGATGTGACCTCTAGAACTGGACCCAGCTGCCATTCACTAGCTGAATGACCCTGGGGAAAGTGACTTAGTCTCTCTGGTCCTCAGTCTTCTCATCTGAGAAAATACAACAACACATATAGATATATATCTCCATATATATATCTCTAGTACCAGCGGAGCTGTAGGGAAATTGGTGACAGTGGATTGGTTCAGCTTTCTCAAGAGCAGTATACAAATGTGTAACAAGAATGATCAATGACTCTATACACTGATTGGCTTGGAGATCCCACTTTCCTAGAGGAAACCTTGACGAGGAAGGAAGGATGGGTATAATAGTATTGATTTCCCTTCAAGCCAAATGTCTGCGCAGAGGTGAATGGCTCAGCCAGCTCCACAATACGCGACCTGGAGGGAGGCCGCAGCCCCAGAGAGTGATCAGTGGTTTCCAGCATGTTCATGCAGGGCCCGCCTCTGGAAACCTCTCCTACCCCTCTCCCCCACCAATCGAGGAAAAGAGTCAGGGAGAGTCATTCAGAGAAGGGACAGAGGGAGGAAGTTTCTTGAGGCATGAAGGGATTGACGGGCAAGGCCTGTGCTTTCCTTCTTAGGCCCACAACCCCTCCCAGCTCTGGAGCCTCCGGGCTGGTTTGTCTCCACCCCCACTTCCTGGGCCCCATCCAGCCAGCCCAGAGGGGGGCACAATCTAACTGCTTCAGCCAGGTGTTTCTCCTACAAGACAGAGGCCTACACCCTCTCTCCACCTGGTGAGCTCTCTCCGGGAGGATGAGATTGCTGAAGATCTTTTCCTTTCAACCATTTCGTGTGCTAATGCGTTGTTTGACTCTTTCATGAAGAGTATGTGTTACATATAATTTTATATCTGGCTTAAACTGGAAACATATTTTCAGTTTGCAAAATAAAGACCATACTACTACACTGGTCATCATACTCCCTCCTCCCTCTTCCCTGCCCCTCCACCCTGGGGCCACTGTTCCTCTGTCACCTGTCCAGGCCCAGAACCCAGAAATGATCCTGGACTTTCCTCTGTTTGAATCCCTCTCACAATTAGTCCCAGTGCCCATCTATTCTTGCTGGCATATATAAGTATATAGAAATTTCTCTCCATTATTCTGTTGTCTTCCCATGTCCGCCATATGCATTTATTGAGGCCCAACCATGCACCAGACACTGAGCTAGTCCCTGACTGTAAAGGGGCTGCCTCCGCTGTAGCTGGTCATTCCCTCTTGTTATGAGAGGTTCGGGGATTCGATCGGAGACGTAAAAGAAACTTTCCACTCCAAACAAATGGACTGAAGGTATATTTTATTATATAGAGGAT